GTCTATTTTTTATATCTAATTGTTTATATCTAATTTCAGGAAGTATGTAACGTCAAACAGTAAAAAGGGGGGGGGGGTCGTACCGAACCCCCAAAAAGGGGGGTCGTACAGGCTCGAGGACTCCAGCAACTCTTGCACCGGGCGGAAAATAAATTGTGGAGGACGTGATCACGTACCATGCCTTCCATCTCACGCGCAGCTCTGGCGCCGTCCTGCCTGGTCCGTCAGCAGTCGTATGATGGACTGATTTTTGATTCGATTTTTTTTCTTGTTTATCGATTGGTTGATCGTTTTTCTCGTGAAGCGTTGAACACGCTCAACCGCCGCAAGCGTGGAAGGCAATACGTTCAGGTTCCTTTAAAATGCCACCGCTACTCTGAGTGGAAATAGTATGCCCCATCCCAAAGAAGGATCGATTGACTTTTCACTTTTTCGTCTTTTACGTGATTTTCCAGACCCTCCTTAATCTCCCACATTATTTGCTTTACAGACTGTTGTGCAATGTCTGAAAAAGAGATATTTGTTAGGTCGAATACGAGAAGGCTTTGGTTCTGTTGAGCGAGAAGAAGATCAGCAACGTCCAAGATATTGTTCCTGCACTTGAACTTGCTAACAAAGTGAAAACCCTCTGGTGGTCATCGCATAGACGTGGATGGCGAAGCACCAACCATTTTGGTGCTGAACCGTCTAAAGGTCAGTTATTTGCATACTTCAGAGACGTTATACCTGCAATCTACTATTTCTTTAGGTCGGACTCCAAGTGGTAGCTGTGAAAGCACCCGGATTCGGTGACAACAGGAAAAACACGCTGACGGATATGGCAATTGCGACCGGAGGAACTGTGTTTGGAGACGACTCAAACTTGGTTAAGCTTGAAGACATTCAGCTCAGCGATTTCGGAGAGGTACAGTTCAGGCAATTTCTCAAATATTTGGATGAATCAACTCCACATATTGACAGGTCGAAGAGGTGACTATCACTAAAGACGATACCCTATTGCTGCGTGGCAAAGGTGATTCAGCTCAGTTGACAAAGGATCGAGCAAATTGCAGATGATATCGAACAGTCCACTAGTGAATATGAAAAGATAAGTTTCATAAGACCAAATATGGACAACCCTTCAATAACCCGTGGCTTTCAGGAGAAACTTAATGAACGTCTCGCAAAGCTTTCTAAAGGTGTCGCCGTTTTGAAAGTAGGTGGTGCTTCTGAAGTAGAAGAAAGATCGCGTTACCGATGCTCTATGTGCTACCCGTGCCGCTTATGAAGAGGGAATCGTAGCAGGAGGAGGAGTCGCGCTTCTTCGAGCTCTTGAAGTTCTTGAAGGGTTCAAGGTGCGCTCCTCTGGTTTTTCGGAATTCTTAAATAGTTGAAATTTGTGCAAATCCGTATTGTAGGCTGCGAAAATCAGCAAATGGGTGTAAACATCATCAAAAAAGCAGTTCGTCAACCAATCAGCACTATTGTCAGGAATGCCGGATTGGAACCAGCTTCCACAGTTGAGAAGGTTTGTAGTAATGTGTCATCGTTGATTCGTTCGTAAACATTTTATCTCAGATCCCACTGAATGACAATACTGGTTACGGATACGACACACTCAATGACAAGTTTGTCGACATGTTTGACGCTGGTATCATCGATCCCACAAAGGTATGTGTAATGAAGTTCTGCTGTGTGCAGTAGTCTCTGAAGTGACGATCTCTTCCAAAGTCCGACTTTCCTATCAGCTAGTGCTGTTGTAGCTTCCGTGAGTTCCATTTCCCAGAAGTCAAAAGTCCTTTTCCTAATATCCAGTGTACGTGAACATCCAGAGTCACCTCATGTCGTTCAGGTTGTGCGAACGGCGTTGCAAGATGCCGCAGGTGTAGCTTCGTTACTTGCTACGACGGAATGTGTTGTTAATGAATTACCTAAAGAGGACCCAGTGCCAGGCATGGGCGGTATGGGAGGAATGGGTGGAATGGGCGGAGGAGGAATGTTCTAAACACCGACCGCTAGGATTTATTTCTAATTTGCACTATTGATTCCACTTGTTACGTTATCCATCTTTCGCTCAATTGTTGCACGTTGTAAATTTAGTAGATAGTAGTTGTTATACTAGGCATAGTTAGTTTTTGTTACATGGTTTCTATCAGTTGTACGTTGTATTTGGAGTAACCATTGCATCTCAGAACGTTGTTGATTTTTGTGTTCAATCATAGATTAAATAAATATCTTGCCATTTTATTGTCTTTGTTACGCCAAACTGCTGATTGAGTTGGGTCACCACTTAATGCAACCCCAGTCCGACGTGAGAGAGTTTGTGGCGAGGCCATGCGATTATGTTGTAGTCAGCTGTCTTCAAATGGTTTTTTTTTCTTTTCCAGATCGCAATTCCATGCCGACCGGACGCAGAGGGTCAAACGTTTTATTGATTTACAGTTTTCAAATTAACGTAGCTACTTCCTCAGCATCCATAATCGACTTTCAATCCATCTTGGCATCGTGTGAAGTCCTGACTAAATGTTAAAACCACAGCCAAGATGTTAACAACTTCGTTTGGCTGACCTTTCGGCCTTGTCGCCTTCGTCGGAGCCTTAGGAGAGCTCGGCTTGCTCGAGTTTCGACCACCATGTTTGTCCGATACGTCAGCCAAATAAAGTTGTTATCTTGGTTGTGGTTTAAACATCTTACCGAAGTAGCTACTTCCCTTCAAAAGGTCGGAGCAGTGGAAGTCCTATTTTCTTGTGAGAACAGGAGCGATTGTTGCTTTTCAACGCTGCAGTTCTCGCTTCAAGGTTATCACAAGATCGCTGAGCTAGGGCACATAGATATCTCAGCCAGCACTCCAATCTACACTGTCGTTTTGGATGTTTTTGAAGCTCTATTTTTGAACTTTTTTGTTTTCTCATGTGAGATCCGATAAACAAGAAAAAATCAAATCAAAAATCAGTCCATCATATTGTAACGATGTTCATCGTAGTAACATAAGCCTTCTGAACTGACCTCCGGGCTGTTGTATACGGCTCATAAGATAGAGCGCCCCAATGAAAAGATTCAAAGACGGAAAGTAGCATTCTAACTTCTCCAACATCTGCCGGCATTCACTTGACCGCGCGTGGTGGGGCTTTTCGCCGCCGATAGTAATTGCGCGTGAGATGAAGGCATGGTACGTGATCACGTCCCCAACAATTATTTTCCGCGCCCGCGTGGCGAGACGTTGGCGTGAGTCCACAACGGCATTAGCCGACCGAACCAAAATCCCCATCGAATGCTGTGCCCTGTGCACACCAAACACAGTATCTCACGACAACAGCGTCGAAATAGCCTAGGGGACGTAAGTGTTGTGATGCGAAGGATATCGAAAGGATTAGAACTATTGCGCGGGATCAGAAGAATTAGAACGATTGCATGGAAGTGTTCGTAGATCTATATACCCGTTGGATGCTTCAATGCATCATTTTTCTATTTATAAATGTGCTTGTATAATTGGGTTTCATGAAAAATAGTCCGCGTTTGGGTCAGAATGTCTCATGACATTGCAGTGGAGTTTTCGCACTATACTAAGGTACCGTTATTGAAGGATTTTTCCCCCAGAATGAAAGATGTCAACGTCGTCGCGAACTTGATTAAATTGGCTAGGAACAACATACGTTTTGCATGTGTCTCCACCTTAAGGTCCCGCATATTCATTCAGTGATAAATGCCGCTTCTTTTCATGTCGAGTAGTTGTTTCAAGTTATTCACATTCTTATAAATGTATCTGATGACAGTATAGCCTCCTTGTTGTGTGGCTACCACTGCCTGCTTGCTTTCGTTGGTGCTACTGCTGTTTCGTGCGATGCCAGGAATGATGAAAGCATAGCTTTTCTGAACGAAGTACAGTCGTCATCCTTGCACTTGATAGGGGCGTGTCGGCGAGAAGGAGCGTGCACACTGTTTGAAGCCTTCTCAGCCTTTTCGTTGAAACGCGTATGCGACAAAAAGTGATAGAAAACGAGTAACACGAAGGATATAATACAGTAATGTCACTCTCTGGTTCAACGATTGGTGCAGTACGGGTGCTGACGACCGCGCCGCACGCAGCCGCACTGACATTGACTATCAAGTGCAAGGATGACGACTGTACAGTACGAGTGCGAGCTCCGTAGTCAGCCCTATTCACAGCTTCAAGAATAAGCTCGCAGTTGAAACCTAAACTACTCTAGGGATTCTAGGAGTTGTGCCATGAAATGAGGAAACATAAGTGTGTCATGAGTGGGACACATTCGTTCACTAAACTGGAAGGCGAACAGTTGCCCATTCCGATGCAGTCGTGTTGTTTCTAAAACCTAAACAGACCGAGATCGAGAAACAAGACAAAACTACTAGAACTGGGTTGCGGTGAGCTGCGCTCACGATTCTCGCTTGCGTTTCCAGCGTTTTGAATGAAAAGGATTGTTAGCTATCGACCTGGCGTTTTAAATCTTCAGCGGAATGTTAGCGAAAAGTCTAGTGTAGGTGTCGATCGGCGCTAGAAACGATGGATCGATAACTATACTATTCTTCTCAAACGTACAAAAAGATGCTCGATGCGATAGCAACCACACGTTATCTAGGCAATTCCGAGCTGTTGCTGTGAGATGGTGTGTTTGGTGTGCACCCACATTCATTTATTTGAGGGTACGGTGTACGATTGTTCGCCTACTGAAGTTACCGTACTGTAAAGTACGCAACTACAGTTTCTATCCCACAGCTATCGTGGCGACATCTAAGAACGATATTGCGTGCCTTAATGGTAAACAAACCGGTTTTCACGTTACGAAAAAAGAAAAACTTGCATCTGGAGCTTTTTTTTACTCTATGTCTGCAAAGAGAACTAGTGAAGTACATAAAGATGAACACAATATGGACTGATGAATCACTTGATTAAAGGTACGTTCCGCGATAAACTAAGGCTCACCTCATCAAACGTGCCATCGAGCGAGTAAGCAGGCACATGTAGATGGATATGCGGCTTTTAAAAATTGAAAAACAGCAAGCATAGACGCAGCAACGTGTCTGTTAGCGCCGCATTGGCGCCCCGATAGCTCTGGCCTCCCGTGACGTGTGTCGTTGATGTTATTTATAAATACCACCAATCACACTGTGCAATTGCGTACTCACTGCTGCTACCGTAATCCACGTCTAATTCATATTCATACTGTGGCTACTTCGCCAATTGTAATTAAGCAAAGGCAATTAAATGGCTGTGATTGTGCCGAAGGGGATAATGAAGATTCGATTTTGTATCATAAGTTTGTTTTTATTGGTTGAATCATTGGCGCTTTCACTTCAGACCCTTTGCTAGTAAAGGATGCGCTCCTCAAGTCAAACCGATACTCATGGTGAGTGCTTAATAGTGTTGTTTCCTGGTCAAAATGCCAAGCGAGTGCAAACATGACTGAAGGGGAGGCGGGGGGGGGGTAACTGGGCCAGTGCTTCGCGGAAATGCCGGACGAACGCGGTCCATTTGCATGCGAGGTAGTAGAGGGGGATGGGCGAGGTCGTGAGTGCAGTGTCACTACTGCGCAAAGCTGTGGCAAATAAGTGAAGCACTGTTTTTGTGTCTCGCAGTGGAGTGCCGTATTCAGTCCGGCTGCAAATTCATGATAAATTGATGTAGTGTAATGAAACCACCACACAGCAGAAAGTGAAGTTAGTCTGAGTATGACGAGGGAACCATTAGTTGTACGGTAGGGTTGTCCTCCCTGAAGCTCGTCCACAGGTTCATATTTCTATGTCTCTGGTACCATGCGATGAAGATGAAAACTAGTCGCCGCGTTACATGAACGCGTTCAACAGCGCTCCTGTGCTTCAAGTTTTATTCATATTAAGCGGTTTCTGGATAGAAGTGTGGCTCATGTAATCGAGAGACTTTCTTGTTGCAGCTATAGTAAACCCTCGGATCAAATCCGCGTCGAGTGTTTTTTGTATAGTAGGCCCAAAATACATATTGAAGAAAATTTCTATTTT